AAATATAAATTTATCAAAATTTAGAATATGATAATAGGTTTAATTTTTTTTTTATATTTTTGATTATGTAATAATTTACAGGCTATTGAAGAAATATATTTACAGTAAAAAATAATATATATATATATATGTATGTATAGATATATGTATGCATAAGGAGTCGGGTTCAGTAAATAATAAGTTTAAAGCATTGTTTGAAATTATTCACTTGTCCTTTTCTTTTTAATTTTATTAATTGCAAAAAGCCAGTAGATAAATAAATTAATTACAAAAAATAATAACAAGGAGTTAAACATCTATAATATTAAAAAGTAAAAAAATAATAATAATTAAAAAAGTTAAAATATAATGATATTAACTAATAATTTGTTTTTGTAATTAAATTATTAATATTTTTTGTATTATAATTTACTTTGGAATATTTTCTGTTTAAAATTGTATTATTATTATTATTATTACTATTTTCCTGAAATTAGATTCAGAAATCTGAATTTTCTAGGCTGCCAAACGACCTGATGTTCTGACATTCAACTTCATATGTTATAAGCAGTTGAATTATTATATGTTTTTAACATTTTCCATTTCACCAATTTATAAAAAGAATTATTATATATATATCTTGGCGATCACTTTATACTTTTTCACGAAATATCTGCCGAAAAAAACAAATCCAGAAAAATTAATCTCCACAAGATGAGCAATCTCCGTTTGTGCTTATTCAATCTTTCAAATCCCACTTGGATCTTCTCTTTGCTTTCTCGGTTTTCTATTTAATTAGCAGCTTGCAGTTCTCGTGAGGAAACGACTTTCATAGTAGCTTTCGGTTCGATTAAAGGTGTCTAAAACTTTTTACTCCTTCAATTGTGTGTACTGTTTGGTTGCCCAGAAAAGTTCTTCGAAAAGGAATGCCTGTCTTTTTTCTTTCTGGGTTTTTCATTTTCCAAATGTCTGTACTGTTTTATTAGGAATCCTCACGCTCGCACCAACTCAAATAAGAAACATGGTTTCTTCCTTCCTTCCGTAGAATTCATTTACTTGCTAAGAGAAAATTAACCAGGTTGAATCTAGGATTATGTATTCATTTTCATTTCGCACATTTGCATTTGTCGGCACTAACGAATTTACACCAGTATTTTCCTAGATTCTGAGAAATCTCATCTGGGTCGGTTCCTTTTTTTTTCTTCTCTCGAAGAAATGGTGAATCTGGGATCGATTTCAGGCGCTGGTAAATCCATGAAGCCCATTCACGTGAGCTTCAGATTACCATACAACACTCACTGGGGTCAGAGCTTGCTGGTCTGCGGCTCTGAACCGGTGCTGGGTTCGTGGGATGCGAAGAAGGGGTTACTGCTGAGTCCTGTTCATGAAGGTGGTGAGCTTATATGGAGGGGCACCATTACTGTGCGGAGTGGGTTCTGTTGCGAGTATAGTTATTATGTGGTCGACGGTGAGAAGAAGATACTCAGATGGGAGATGGGGAAGAAGCGTAAACTGGTATTGCCTGATTTGATCAAAGATGGAGAGCATGTGCAGCTATATGATCTTTGGCAGGTGATACAATCTGCACCATTATTATTATATATTTTTAGATTTTTTTTAGTTTTTAACATAAAAATTTTATATACATGTTGTATATGTAGGTGTTTATGTGTAGACAGACTGATCAATATGTTGTTTGGTTAAGAGAAAAATTCATGAATTATAAATGGTCAAGCTAAGATACTTGATTTTCCTTTGTTGTTCTAATAATCTTCTGAAGGTATGAATAGTAAGACAAGAAAAGGAAGAAGCATATATGGAAGAACATCAAATATAAATTAATTAAATTAAAAAGCCATTAAAAATTTAGGAATAATTAGAAAATAATATAAAAGCAAAACTGTCCTTGAGGATGTCATGTACCAAACATAACTCATTATAAGTTAAATGTATGATATAGCTGCATTTGGTTCCTAAAACTTTTATATGATTACAATTACTATTAAGTCCAATACCTCAAGTTTATTAAATGGAGCATCAACAGCTTCATTTTCTTACATACTTCACCCCATTGCATTAGACACAAGAATGCATATTTCCGAAGTTTGAGGCGATTTCATGAGGATTTTTCTCTAAGTTATCTTCAAGTTTGGTCTTTTAAAATCCCTGGGGCACAAACACTATTACCTATATCTGCAATATTCTGTTGTTAATTTTTATGCTGATATGATGAGATTGTGACATGCAGCAGTTGCAATTGAACATTATGTTGTTGTTTGCAATTTATTCTGAGGGAGCATGATAAAAGCAATAGAGCAACGAACAACTAAAACTACTGCTTATTATTTTTAATATTTTAAGCAACTGAGAGAAACAAATCGGTTAAAAACATTGCAGCTGATTCTTCAGAAAAAAGAAAGTCACTGCCGTGGCTGCTGTATGGTAAAACTTAGAATTTTCTCTTATGCCTTCAATTTAGCTCTTGTAACAGAAGGATTAGAGATGGTGTTAATAGAAGCTATGCAGTATCCGATGCCCTCATTATAGTGACCATTGTATGAATGCAGTTCTTCTCCTCTATTGTTGCTGAAGAAGTATGTACAACCTTGTTATCTTCATTTCTGGTTGGGAAATTATGCGTAACATATATTAATCTCAAACTTCATGGGCTGATAATTTTGCCAGAAAAGTTAAACATTGTTCGGCTCACGGGGACTTCTTTTTGAAGTTGTGTTTCTGTTTATCTTATAATGTTTGAATGATTCTTTCTGGTGGAGGAGATTTGCAAATTGCGATAAAGCATCCCTGCTTCTTGATGCAAAACTCTTCCTCTAAAACGCTTGTTTTATCAACTCCAGACTGGAGATGATTCTCTCCCTTTCAGAAGTGCCTTCAAAGATGTCATCTTCAACAGGAGTTGGACTTTGGAAGTTGAGAAACCCTTAGGTGTCATTCAGAATAAGTTGGATCAAGAAGGTAAGTGTTTGTCATTTGAACCTTTGTGTTCATTTCATTCAATTTAAGATTCTGTAATCGGATCTGGTCTTTTAGCTAAGTGTTGTTGTTTGACTTCTAAACTTAAACAGATTCAATCCTTGTCCAGTTCAAAATTTGCTGCCCAAATATTGATGAAAACACATCAGTAATATCTCTTTCTTTTCTTGACATATTTTTTTATATTTATGCATGTGTATATGCTATTTCAAAGTGTTTGTTAATCATTTTTAGCAACGTTCTTTCATATTTGTTTATAATACATGCAGGTTTATGTGATAGGTAGCACAACAAAATTAGGGAAATGGAAAGTTCAAGATGGACTTAAACTTGGCTATGCCGGTGGATCAATCTGGGAAGCCGATTGTGTGTTTCCAAGAGCTGATTTTCCATTAAAATATCCTTTCAATTTTGTTTCCTTTCAAATATATATCTCTCTCTCTCTCTCTTGTATCCTTAACTGTTGTTTTACATATAAATACTGTAAATATGGAAAAACAGGAAAATTTTCTTTGGAAACTGGATCCTACAGAAACCTCGCAATTGATTCCTCTAGTATTCAACTGGGGTACATCTTTGTTTCAGATGGCATGTTGCGAGTAAGCTCTTGAAAATAACAAATAAGAAACTGATTTTTTAATTTTTGATAATGAAAAGGGAAGTGAACGTTTTACTGTGTGAAAACTTCTATGTTTTGTCCTCTTATAAGCCAATCTGAATTTGCTAGGAAATGCCTTGGCGTGGTGCTGGTGTTGCAATCCCCATGTTCTCTGTCAGGGCAGAAGCTGACCTTGGTGTAGGAGAGTTTCTTGACTTGAAATTACTTGTTGACTGGGCTGTGGATTCTGGGTTTCATTTAGTTCAGCTTCTACCTATCAATGATACATCTGTGCATGGAATGTGGTGGGATTCATATCCTTACAGGTATGCTAAGGATATAAACTTTGAACGAATTTAATAGCATTCATAAGTAGTGAACTGCATCTTCTCTGCTTGCATAAGAAATTTTCTGCTTCTCTGATCTTACATTTCATGAACAGGCACCTAACATGTTTGTGGTCACAAATTGTACACCAATTACTGGAATGCGTATGAACTATGAAGATTAAACTATTGTACTGGTCATTATAGATTTGTTTCTCCGACCACTAAATTATTTCTCTCCTTTTTCTTGGACATGCAGCTCACTTTCCGTATTTGCATTGCACCCATTATATCTGAGAGTCAAGCTCTTTCAGATATATGCCAGATGTTATCAAGTTCTTGCAGCAGCTTCTTCATTTCTTGTTTAAGAAAAACTGATAATTTGCTTTTGTAATTATGTGACTTCACTGCTTTCAAGAAAGACATAGCTCATTTTTTACTCATTTCTTTTCGTTACAGCAAGAGATTCAGAAAGCTCAGGACAGTCTGGATGGCAAGGTAATCCCTTGTTTCGAAGTATTTTTTTATGTTTGAAAGTAGTAAGATTCTACTAATTGAATGATGTACTTTGCAAAGGGGAGAAATAAACCTAAAAAGAAAATCACATTAGGTCTTGATCTTTGCAAGTTCTCTGACAACCATTTACTTTATCATGGGAAGAGCTAATGCATAATGGGAGCTGATTCAGTGCATGTACCCAAACTCTAAATTTCTTTTTGGTTTCCGAAAAAAAAGAATTGAGGTTCCTAACAGTGAAACAATTTGTTTAACCTCTTAATTAAAAAAATTAGGATTTATGTTCCCTGAAGGGATAACAATCTGTTAATGTCTTCAAAATTAACCTAAAATAGGGCTTTATCATAACTTTCCTATAAGAATTTTCTTTACTCTAAATGTTGAAACTAGAGCTTCCATAAAGATCAGTTTGTTAATGTCTTCAAAATTGACCTAATATAGGTCTCTATCATAGTTTTCCTATAAGAATTTTCTTTACTCCAAAAGGTTGAAACTAGAGCTTCAATGGATCCTATGAAGAAAACCTTCAATAAAGATTGCTAATGTGTTTATCATTAAACATTTAAAATTGTCTATTTTGTGGCTTTCTTGTGATAATCTCAGAGGTGGTGTGAAAGGTATTAGAGGTTATTGGCATACAGAAAATATATTAACGACAGGCTTACATGGATAAAGAAGGTTTATGTATCCATTTTATATGGTTGTCCTTTTTGTTAATTCATTAAATTTTGGACATGCAGGATGTTGATTATGAGGCTACCATGGCTGCTAAGCTTTCAATTGCCAAGAAAGTTTTTGCCTTGGAGAAGGATATGATAATGAACTCCAGCTCCTTCCAGAAATTCTTCTCTGAGAATGAGGTTTTTAGAAAGCCTTTTCCCCTTCTTAGGACTATATCAAAAATTTTCATCAGTAAATTGACTTCTCATTCCAGTCAACTTCTCCAGTAAGATCTTTAGGAAAGCCAATGATGTCCTGACCTTTTTTTTTTCTGATTGAAGGAATGGTTAAAACCCTATGCAGCCTTCTGCTTTCTGCGGGACTTCTTTGAAACGTCTGATCACAGTCAATGGGGTCGCTTCTCTCATTACTCGAAAGATAAGGTACGTTGCTTATTGATTCTTATCATTAAATTGAGAAGTTTGGGAATTTATAATAGCTTAGGTTCTATTACATTGATTATCTATTTTCTATATGACTATTAAGTCTTCAAGAGCTTTCTTATTACAGCTTGAGAAAATTGTCTCCAGAGACAGCTTGCACTATGACATAATTTGTTTCCATTACTACATCCAATATCATCTACATTTGCAAGTAAGTAAATAATATTTCTGTGTCCATTTTGTCCATCATTGGTGGTTGCTATGGAATGAAAAGTTTCTTATGTTCAATGAATGGTTGGTGATAATATAGTTTTAAACAGTTGTCAGAAGCTGCTGAATATGCAAGAAAGAAAGGGGTGATATTAAAAGGAGATCTACCTATTGGCGTTGACAGAAATAGTGTGGATACCTGGGTTTATCCGAATTTATTTCGCATGAACACATCCACTGGAGCACCTCCTGATTATTTTGATAAGAATGGTCAGAATTGGGGATTTCCTACTTATAATTGGGAGGAAATGTCAAAAGATAATTATGCTTGGTGGCGTGCTCGTTTAACACAGGTTTCTCACTTATACATTCATTTCTTTTTCTTGCTCAGAGTTCTTATAAAAATAATATCTTCCAGAGATTAATCACAGGGTTCTCACATACATTACAGATGGCAAAATATTTTACAGCTTATAGGATTGATCATATATTAGGATTCTTCAGGATCTGGGAACTTCCAGAGCATGCTATGACTGGTTTAGTTGGAAAATTTCGACCATCTATTCCACTAAGTCAGGTATTTTCACATCCTTGTGGTTTAAAAAACTGAAAAACAACTGTCTTGCAAAACCAGAAATAGTTGTTGCTGAAAAGCCATATTATTCCATGCCTTTGAGCCATTGTATAAAATTTCATACAACAAAGTCAATGCATAATAGATTAATGCTTTTGGTGTAGGAAGAACTTGAAAGAGAGGGAATATGGGACTTTAATCGCTTGAGCCGCCCGTACATTAGACGGGAGTTCTTACAGGTTACTAGGTTTTCATGTTTGTTTTAATTTGCTTTCACTTAAATGACATCAATTTATTACTCAATAAAAAGATTTTTTCCTTGTACATTTTTGTTGCCAGTCATTATTTTCTTATTCACTTATTTGTTTTATTCTTATTGTTTCAGGACAATTTTGGACCTTCTTGGGCTTTTATTGTCTCTGTGTTTCTGAATGAATATCAGAAGGACTGTTTTGAGGTGATCCTCATAGAACAGTGTGCAATGTTCTTTGGTTTTTGCATGTTGTTTGCTTCTTCTTTTTTTTTTTTTTTTGTATATACATGTTCTTTATATCTAAACATGATTTATCTAGTAAGGAAGATAGAATTGTACTAAGCTTTTATTTTTAATTCTTGGTTTGTAGCTGATATCTTGAAGGTCAAGAACTAATTTAGTTTTCTTAGATCTTTTGTTTTATACATAGCAATACCTCTTCCACATGAGAGTTACTGTCCTTATCTTTTCTGAATACATTCTCTATTTCCCCCTCATAAATAAGACTTTAAATTTATTCTGGCTTTTTCATCTGATTGTCGAAGGAATCTGGATTCTGTTGATCAAGGTTTTCTTCTTCTAACACTAAAATACTGGTTGTTAGTTGCTGCTTCGGTTTGGAATAGGTGCTTTTGTAGAATTCATTTTTTTCATAACTTAAAAACCTTTTCCTTTTGGCTCCCATTTAGCTTGTTGAGTTTCCTTCCATGACAACAAAGGAACTTGAAATTCTTGTTCTCTCACTCCAGGAACTTATGTGGATCTTCGTTTCTGTTATCTTCATTGCTATCAGTTTTATTAATCATTATTAAAACGATAAGTTTTCTTTAATGCTGCATTAGTTCAAGGAGGACTTCAACACAGAGAAAAAAATTGCAGCGAAGCTGAAGTCATTTGACGCGAAGTCATTGTTGGATGATGAAGGGAAAATACGTCGTAATCTTTTTGATCTTTTACAGGTAACTTATATCATCAAAGTAATTTTTAGACTTCAGTTTCCTATCTCTATCAGCTCATTATAATCCTTCCACAAATAGTTTGCATTGGCTCCTTTTCTCAGGTTTTACGTGTATTCTTTCTCAAGTGTCAGGCACTTCTATCAGTTGTCTGAGTAATATGTTTTGCTTTTTTGAATTGGTTCTGCAGAATATTGTTCTGATTAAAGATCCTGAGGATGCAAGGAAATTTTATCCCCGTTTCAATCTTGAAGATACTTCAAGCTTCAAGGATTTGGATGATCACAGGTTCCTTATCATATTAGTTTTCAGAAATTCATCTAGCTCCTAAACTGATTTTGTACTCTATTTTTCGATATAATAATCACATTGGTATTTGCATTGTAGAAAGCTATCTTTTGCTTGAACTGTTCTGAGTTCTTACCATAACTCTCTGATTATTGTTAATTGAAATAGTAAAAATGTGCTGAGAAGATTCTATTATGACTACTATTTCCATCGACAAGAAGATTTATGGCGAAAAAATGCTCTGAGGACCCTTCCTGTGTTACTAAACTCCTCAGATATGCTAGCCTGCGGTGAAGATTTAGGCCTTATACCCTCTTGTGTTCATCCTGTACGTTTTTTTACTTCCCTAAGTTCTGCTGTTTCTTGGCCGCTTCTACATCCCAATACTTTTTCATGACCACATATATTGATGCAGGTAATGCAAGAATTGGGGTTAATAGGCTTGCGAATTCAACGCATGCCCAGTGAACCTGATCTGGAGTTTGGCATTCCCTCTCAGTACGATTATATGACTGTGAGATCCTCTCCTAAATCCTGTTCATAGTGCAGAAAATACAGTACGATATTTTTTCGGGGTTTCTAGAGCGTGATTCTTTATAATTCTTAACTGAACTATATAATTCAGATTAGGAAGTTACATTTACTCAATAGTCTTCTAGAATAAAAAGGGGTGGTTATTTCTGAAGTCCTAAAAAACTCTCTTTCTGCAATGAGACTATACTTGTTCCAAATGCTGTCAGTTTCCAAAATAATAACGTACACATTTGAATTGCTACCCAGAACAGTTAAAAAACAAAGAACTGCCATGCAGAAAAGAGTGGCATCTCGAATGACTATGCATGTGTTGTCTGTAACTTTTTTTTATAAAAATTATTGTGTTTTTTCATAGTGAAGAGAGTTGATTGAAATTGCACATATTATCCCTGGAGTTCCATGGTTTTAGGGTCAACAAGAGATCAATCATTGTTTTGCTCATTTATTTTAGAGTTGCATCAGTAGCACCAAGCACAGTAGTTAGTTTCCATTTGCTTGAAAAGGTTCTTTTGTGAAGGAAAGGGTATTCTGGCACATACACCTCATATCTTCTGGTGTATATGCCAAGATGGTGTCATGCATTTTGAAGGGTTGAGTTTAGAAAGACACAGTGGTGCTTTTGAACTTTTTTTAATCAATAGATTCTCTATTTCTTTTTTATGTTTTATGGGGGTAGCTTTTCTTTTCTTTTTTTTAAATTTTTTGCTTTTTCTCCTTTATGCTATCCCGACAGTAGGGGCATGTCTTTAAAAGTTTTAATAAACTATTGATATATAAAAAAAATTATTTGAATGGAAGTACTTTTTTGCTTCTTCTTGAATCTTGATCTTATTGTTCCTCTTTTTGTTTCCTTTGGAGTTAAAAATAATCATTTCAAGATTGTGATCTGGTTTGCAGAGTCTTCTTATTATTTGTTAATAAGATGAAATTAAATTAGGCAAACTGCACAAATGATTTGCAGGTCTGTGCCCCCTCATGCCATGACTGTTCCACCCTGCGTGCTTGGTGGGAAGAAGATGAAGAAAGAAGACAAAGATTTTTCAAGAGTGTGGGCTGTAATGATCTGCCACCCAGTCGTTGTGTTCCAGATATTGCACATTTCATATTAAGGCAACATGTGGAAGCTCCATCAATGTGGGCAATTTTCCCTATGCAGGTATCAGTTCATTCTCAAATATTTCAGGCTTCTCATGAAGTGCATCAAATAAGCTAGAGCCTATTCCAATTCTCAAGTTGATTTTTATATTGGCACTAATTAATCTACTATGTAATCAATGATAAAATTCAGTCCTTTTATTTGATTAACAGGATTTGTTAGCATTGAAAGAAGAATATATGACACGACCTGCAGCAGAGGAGACGATCAATGATCCTACCAATCCAAAGCACTATTGGAGATATCGTATGTAGTAATGTGTTACTTTTGTATGCTCATGTAGAGTGTATTTGTACATTAGCTCAAAAGGTACATGCACAACATTATGGGTCCTTAGATTTTGCTGTATGCCCTCAGGAGAGGGGGGGTGGCGTGGGTTGGGTTTTAGACATGCTAAAGGTGCCTTTCTTCTTGATACATGGTGTCCACTTAGTACCTTGGTGTACTAATCCCTCAACTAGCCCTTTTTAAAATGGATATGATCTGATAGCACGGAGCTGGGAGGAGGTGTCCTTGTTGTAACCCGTGCTCTCTTTTAAGAGTTGGGTATAGCAGCTCTACCAATAGTTGATTTTCAGGAAAATAAAAAACTCAGTTACAGTGAGGCACAATTTTCTGTTCTAAAAGAAACAAAAATTAAGACCTAACTTGATGGAGAATAACTAATTGAATGTAGTGAACTAACTCATTGAACCCTCAACTCTGTCATA